TGTCAAAGGGACTTACACAGGTGCTTTACTGAACAGAGATGGAAATAAACACATATCCAATTGTTTTGCTGACATAGTACCTAAGTGACAAGGTCACATAGGAAGTCTGTGGCAGAGCTAGGAAATGAGCCCAGACCTCCTGAGTCCTAAGCCAAAACCTTTCATCACAAGTCCATCCTTTCTCTCAAGACTTAAGACCCCTTTGAAAGATTGATAAATTAATACTCAAACATTCAACATCTCTTTCACACACAGTATCTCTTTCTGTTAATGGTTACAGCAGTGGACCTTGTACAATTTTAAAACTCATTACCAAATATAAATGTACTAATGAACCAGAAATGAGACTTGTTGTTAGCAATTTGTAAGTCCCTCTTCTTACAATGGACAGTTGCTGCAACTCAGATCAACACCTTCAAAATAATATTTGGATGAATTGTTTAAATAGATCCAGGAGTCTGATAAGCAGGATTCAGATGATTTCATTAAAAGGGATTTAAATACCAAACCCTGCTTGTAAAAGTGAAAGGGAACTATATAAAATACTAAAATTACATAGGCCTTTTGTTTAAATGTTTTCATTGAAGATCATCTTTAATTCAGATGAATAAATACCATCATTTACAAGGCCACAGCTCACCTAATGGGATACAGTAGTCTGACTTCATAAACCACAAGTGAGAAATGTTAGCTGAATCCTTAATGGCTCTTATCTCTTCTTAGGGATACTGTACATCTGTTAGGTATTTTTTAGAATGTTGTTGATATTTAAAGGATGTATTGTGGAGAATACATAACTTTGGAAACTAATCAGTGGCTTTCTGTTCTTGTGGTTGGGATGATCTCACCCAAAATCTCCAGGAAAATGTTATGAATCCCATAGAATTATGTCTTCCTAAATCTGTGCAGCATTTTTAAGGCTACTTTCCTTGCATTGAAAAGACATCACTAATCCACCCAGTTTTCACACCATGGCTATGTCTAGACTGCAGGCTTCTTTCGAAAGAGGCTCTTTCGAAAGAGCCTCTTTCGAAAGAAGCCTGCAGTCTAGACATAGCCATGGTGTGAAAACTGGGTGGATTAGTGATGTCTTTTCAATGCAAGGAAAGTAGCCTTAAAAATGCTGCACAGATTTAGGAAGACATAATTCTATGGGATTCATAACATTTTCCTGGAGATTTTGGGTGAGATCATCCCAACCACAAGAACAGAAAGCCACTGATTAGTTTCCAAAGTTATGTATTCTCCACAATACATCCTTTAAATATCAACAACATTCTAAAAAATACCTAACAGATGTACAGTATCCCTAAGAAGAGATAAGAGCCAGACTGAACACAGATTCATAGATTTCAAGGACAGAAAAAACCATCATGATTACCTAATCTGACGCTGTTGCACTTTGCAGGCCACAGAACTTCACCCTCCCACTCCTGTAATAACCATGACCATCATCTGCCTCTTAAGAGGAACCTCGACTAGGTTGCATCACCACTTCCTCCTCCTCTAAGGACTTACAGAAATGGCACTGTTCTTCCAGAAAGTGCAAAACTGAGGAGCAGGAGAGCCGACAGCCTTGCTGGGCTCTGGGCAAGCATGGGTAGCTGGCTTTGCTCCTGGAAGAGATGAGGCTGGGGGCAGCCGGCTCTCAGCGCTGCCAGCATGTTGGTGCACCTCTCCCCCTCCCTCAGCAGTGCTGGGATGTTGGTGCACCTCCCCGCTTTCCTCAGCGCTGCCTAGAGCACACCCTACCATGCTCCCGCTTTCCCAAGCAACTTTGGGCACCACCTGGAACACATGGTGTGGCACTCTGGCAGCAATTTAAAGGGCCCAGAGCTGCAGAGCAGCTGGCAACCTTAGGCCCTTTTGGAACGCTGGGCCCCAAGGCAACTGTTCCCTATGCCCCCCTGTCAGCAGGCCTGTCAAGGGGGAAGAACAGTTAGGCAGCTGAGCATGTCCATGCTTCAAAAAGCTGAGCGGAAGTTCCAGTGAAGCCGCGTGAAAGAATAGACATTCAGGAGTTGTGTCAATGCCCTCGCTCAGAACTCTGCAATGTCTGAGTAAAATGGGCTAGAAAAGGACATGGCTAGCACATTCCCCACTTTAATACAATTTAAATGTTTATTTTTAGAGTGTAGCTTTACGTAATCTGAGGTGTATGAAATTGTATCCACAAGCATGGACCATTAGAAATTAAACATTTGCCACGCCGCTGTGATAATAGCACTACAGTATTACCTCTTCTAAGTACATGATACTACATTACTGGAGAGCACAGGTTCCTGGTGTGGTAAGTGTTATCCTAGGTAGCTGGTGTGCTGTACTGTGTAGTACTCTCAGCTGGGATTTAGGAGCAGTTCTGCTACTGATATGAATTTGGGCAAGTCACCATGCCTCAGTTTCCCTGTCTGTAAAATGTGGTTAATTATATAGACTTACTTTGTAAAGTGCGTTGAGAGCTAAGGAGGAAAGTGTTATATCAGAACTAGAATTGTGCATGGGCCAACTCATGTAAACCTCTCCCTCTTCTTTCCCTGTCTACAAAATGAAGATAATACTTTAGAGGACAGCTGTGAGGATTAATTAGTAAATGTTTGCAAAGTGCTATATGCAGGCTGAAGTTACTTTGTCTTCTCTGGTTTTGTAGTTCAGAAAAAATCCTCGTATTACTGCATAAAGTATAACAATCCATCATTCCTCTGCAGTGTACAACTGCGCACACAGAGAGTAGGTGTACAATAACAGCATAACGTTTGCAAATGTTATGACAATGGAGCTGGGCCTCTCCTGTTCGTTTTAACAAGGATATTAAAATATTAAAATCCCTTACAATACTGTGAGAATTTGCTAAGGGTTGTATGGAAGTGCAGGATTAGCACAGTGGAAGGGCAGCCTTTCATAATGGGGGAATGAAAGAAAAGCTCCTTCGAAGGGTATATTTACTCTTTTGTGATCCAAAATAAAAGTGCACGGTCCTTAGTTACCAATCATATTATTTTACATATGACTATCAAGCTCCAAGTTTTGGGGAGTCAGAACCTATTCTTCATATAAGTCACTGTTCCTGAGACTCGACACTAATCACTGATGTCAGTGGAGCTCCCATTGTAAATTGCTCACCAGGCATCACAGTGTGCTTAGATAAATAATTAGTCACAGCCATTTGATTTGAAATTTCTCCTGTTGCTTTTAAACTCCAGGAGGTATTGGAATAGTTATTGCTTTCTGCAATCTATTTTTCCCCTATTTTAAGCCAGTGTTGTATAGAATCCATGCAAGCAACTACAGTACACCGTGGAATTTATACGTTGGCACGGGAACACCTGGGGTTAACAAAGATGCTTGCTTTAATTAGATGAGTCACTAGTAAAGCTCAATTTTTTGTCCTTCAGTCCCAGGCAAACAGGAGTGGGAGTAATTCCTGTCCACTCACTTCTCAGGCAGTCTGCTCCTAGGGACCCAAAAGATCCAGCAAAGACCAGGAGGAATCAATATAATATTCTGTAATGTACTGTGTTGATTTATCTTAACACCATTTACAAGGTCACTGGGGGTTTGCCCAGTGTCAGTAATCTGGTGTGTAATTTTTTGGCTTGAAAACGCTCCCCTGTTGAGAGCTAAAAGGCTTGCACATGCTGCTGTAGTGTGTGATACTAAAACTAACCGAGTAGGGTTGGAGGAGATTTGTACAGCCCTTGATCATTGCAAGAATCAGTGCCAACAAGGCATGCAGTAAAATGCTGTTCTACTTACAGTATTTAGAATCTTGGTTATTCGGTTGCCATTGAAAATGTGCACAGGACTTCAGATGCAATATACTGAGATGTTTTCCATCACCTGCAGTACATTGTGACATTCCACGGAGTTTCAGCATTACACAGCAGTGTGGGGCATTTGTTCAGAGAGCTACACTCTCTTCAGAACAAAAGATAAAATTGATAACTAGCCAAGTATAATCTTGTACCTTAACCACTGAAAATCCTATCTTAACACTGAATGGAATAATGGAGAGCTTTTATTTCATGGTTTTTAAAAAATAAAAATCCATGATTTCCTTTGAAAGCTATTCAACAAGTTCCCAGAAATCTTATTACATTTAATATGAAAAGCATCTGTTTCTATAAGAACCACCATCAGAGGCCCAATGATACCATTAATCTTTTGGTAGTCAGCCTTTGTTGTGCCTTTTAGCTACGTTTATAGATTTTCTGCCCTTGTAAACCAAATGCAAAACAAAAACTGATAAAATTTTAGTCTGAACCTTCTTCAAATAAACGCTGAAAGCAAGTTTGCATTGGTGTGCTGGCTTGTAGCAACCAGTGCAATTTCTTCCACAGGAGGGAGCTTGCAATTTCAGGAACCTGTTCTAAATCTGTCCTATCATTTCTTGTTGAGGTCTACAAATAAATATCTATCTGTCTCTAGTTATATAGATAGATATGATGTGTGTGTGTGTGATCTTTTCAGCATCACAAAGATCCAAATGTATTGCATTTTATTCACAGCTTTTGGGTACTTTGCATCTGTTAACTACCAGATCAATAGTTATTAGAAGCTAGACATGAAGAATTATATTTAATTGTTTAAACAATTTACAAGACCAAATAGATGAGTGGGTGAGACATTTTAGCTGATGAAACGCTGTTACATTGAATTATTAGGCTACCATGCAGAGTGAGGCTTGGGAGGATGTAAATTTAGAACTTTTCAGCGTCAAAAAGGGACATAGAAAAGAACAAAATATTGTCTCTCTTGCTTTCCCTTTTTTCTGTGTTTAAAAACAACTAGCATGAGGAATAGTGGGTTAAAAGTATCCTGGATTATTTGTGCTCACTCAACCCAAACGCAATGTGCCTTGTTCAGAAATACAGGAATTTGACTTTCAGTACTATTGATTTTTTTTCTACCATCAAATAGTATAGAATTAAAGACTTTTCTTTAAAATGACGGTGAGTATGGATGTCCCCTTTAACCTCGTGTGCCTCTTGTCTCTTGATCAGGTAACAGACATTAAAGAAAAACTGAAGCTTTCAAAAAAGTTCTGGTCCGCGTTACCATACACTATCTGCAAAGATGACCATGTGACAGCTGGCATGTCAAATGAAGAGGACTGCTGGAATGGCCATACCAAAGCTAGGTGAGGAAGACTCCTCCCCAAATAATAGCATACTAGTTCCATATTTGGCCTTGCAATGGTTATGTTCTAAGGCTTGTTTACAAAACCATTTGAGCACTGAAATGAAAATACAACAGAACAAGTAGTTGCCAAGGAAAGCTAGTAAGGGGCACTTATCATCAAAGTGCCATTAAATCAAAAGTGTGAGTCATTTTGAATGTGTACAGAATGTCCGGATTTGAACATGGAGACTATTCGTTGGTTAGATTCTAGGTGGATACATTATTCTGAGATCTCAATTTGGTTTAGCAACAGCTATGAGTGCAGCTGGTTGAAGGGAGCAGCTATGGGTGAGTAGACGTAGGCACAAAAATTTTGGCCAAACCTCTTTCACAAAAAAATTGCAGATTCCAATTGACCAAAGAATTTTAGAAATCTGTGTGGGTTTTTTGGCAAACTATTTTGGTCAGGGGAAAAAATAGGTTGGGTTTTTTTGTTTACCTTTCCAAACTGAAACACTTTGATTTTTTTAAAGCTAGATTCTTAGGGGATTTGGGTGAGGAAGAGCAATGATCCCTGTACCCTAGCCCCAGTGTGACTTCACTGGAACACAACTGTCCCCTACCTGTGAGAACCACCAAGCTAGATAGTCACCTTCATGTTCAGACAGAAACCTGATTCAATAGCCGAATAGTTAGGGCACTCAGCTGTGATGACGGGTCTCAGTTCAAGTTGTGGCTCCAAAGCTATTGGCTGTAAAAGGTTGGCAGCGTTATCTGCGCCTCTTCCTTGGTTTAAGTCCCCAGTCTTTCATTTCCATTTCCACTTTCTTACCTTTGCTTTTATTTTTTAAAGCGTTTAAAGATTCCTGAAATAGAAACAAAACACTTTGTTTCAGGTTAAGTAAAGTGTTTTATACAACATGAAACAAAGCATTGTCTGACTCTTATTCACCAAAAACTGTGACAAACTTTGGTCAGGTTGACGTGAAATTAATATTTTTTCACCTTTTTTTGAAACTGACAGCAAACCAAAAATTCAGTTATTTGCACAGTTCTAGTCTTGAGTGCCCAATGAATGCAGTCCCTTAGTGCTATGATACAGTATCAAACAAATCCTGTAGATTTATTCACCATCATCTATTTGTGGAAGCACGCTAACAGATGAAAATTAGACAGCACAGAACCAGCAACAAACCCTTCAGATCTGAACAGAACTGGATGTATTTTGCCTTAAGCTATGCCTACATTACACACCTTACAGTGGCATAGCTGTACCACTGCAACTGTGCTGCCGTAAGGCCTCCTGTGTAACAGCTCTCCCATTGGCATAATTAAACCACCCCAAAGAGCAGTGGTAACTATGACCATGGAAGATGCGGTGCTCCTGACATAGTACTGTCCACACCGGTATTTGTCGGTGCAACTTTTATCAATCAGGGGTTGTTTTCTTCACACTCCTGACGAGCAAAAGTTTTGTGTAGACAAAGCCTAAGACTCAACTATGAAAAAAATTACATAAGTCATAAATCAGTTTGTCAGCTTCTCCACTGTGCATCGTACTTAGTAACAGAGAGATTCCCTCCCATCCCAATGTCTTAAACCCCTGCTGCTTAATTGTCAAAAGATTCATTTTACAAACAAGCCCAAAGGGCTTTGCAAACTGCTGGTGGTCCATGGACCCCAATTTGACAAGCACAAGTATAAATATACTATCCAAAGGCAGGAATATTATTTTCTTAAGACTTAGTGGGTAGGTCCCATCCACTAAGTGCCCCTGAGATCTGTGAGAGCGGCAAATGGCAGCTAAGCGAACAACATCATAGAATCATAGAATCATAGGACTGGAAGGGACCTCGAGAGGTCATCGAGTCCAGCCCCCCGCCCTCAAGGCAGGACCAAGCTCCGTCTACACCATCCCTGACAGATGTCTATCTAACCTGTTCTTAAATATCTCCAGAGAGGGAGATTCCACCACCTCCCTTGGCAATTTATTCCAATATTTGACCACCCTGACAGTTAGGAATTTTTTCCTAATGTCCAATCTAAACCTCCCCTGCTGCACTTTAAGCCCATTACTCCTTGTCCTGTCCTCAGAAACCAAGAGGAACAAATTTTCTCCTTCCTCCTTGTGACACCCTTTTAGATATTTGAAAACCGCTATCATGTCCCCCCTTAATCTTCTTTTTTCCAAACTAAACAAGCCTAGTTCATGAAGCCTGGCTTCATAGGTCATGTTCTCTAAACCTTTAATCATTCTTGTCGCTCTTCTCTGTACCCTTTCCAATTTCTCCACATCTTTCTTGAAATGTGGCGCCCAGAACTGGACACAGTACTCCAGCTGAGGCCTAACTAGTGCAGAGTAGAGCGGCAGAATGACTTCACGAGTTTTGCTTACAACACACCTGTTGATACAACCCAGAATCATATTTGCTTTCTTTGCAACAGCATCACACTGTTGACTCATATTCAACTTGTGGTCCACTATGACCCCTAGATCCCTTTCTGCCATGCTCCTTCCTAGACAGACATAAACATCGAGAATGTTGATGTGTAAGTAGGTGCAGTCGCTGTGTGGTGCATTACTATGTTTATCTTAAAAGGACTGTGTGAGAGTAAAGTTAGAAATCATCTTCCTCCACAATAGCTATTCTGTGGCAGTGATTCATAAATGACAACCCCATGCAGGTGTGGTCTGTAGGCAAAAGGAAGCTGGCTAGCATGTGTTGCTCCATGAAGCACACATTAATAAGGAATTCATGCTGCTCCTTTTGAAAATAGCCCTACAGCATATTAAAATCCTTCTTCATTTCCTTGAATAATTGAATACATTTTCAGACTATGTACATCGCCAGTATCACTCCACCCCATTTTGTCCCATGCACCCCTACAAATTTAGGGCTTGATAGTGTCCTAAATTTTCAGGATTTGGCATGTGTCCATCCAAAATGGGTATGTTTTCTTGCGCATTTACAAGGGAGCAATTCTCTTGCAGCCTTCCTTTTGCTGTATGTTCATCATGGGAAGTCATCAGGGCAGCAGAAATGGCCTCTTAATAAATAAAGGATTTGATTTCTTTGTATTCATATGTCTGCCTGTTCTCTCCCTTTGCTCTTGTGATGGCGTGAGGTCTCGCTTTTACCCCATGGTAAATACAAACATGTATTTTGAATTCCAGAGTGAATCCTGGAAGTTAAAGATGGAAAAAAGTTGGGTCACCTAACTTATTCTCTACTGTAATAGTCTGCCAATCACTCAGCGTCTCTTCATAAGTTCCTCGGAGCATGGGCAAAGGAAGTGGGGGTGGGTTCATGGCATGTGAACTGTGGTTCTCCCTATCCCCACTCTGCCCCAGGCTCTCTTCCTTCCCTGAGGTCCCCTCGCCCTCCTCTCATTCCTCTCTATCCCCCTGCCATTTGCACCTCTTCACCCCTCCCCGAAGCCTCACCTCCCCCCCCACCAATGTATAAAAGGCTGATGTAAGAAAGAGGTATCCTTGACACTTCTGAATTGATCTTAAGGATTCCCTATTCTTGACAAAGCATCTGTAACAGTATTTTCTTTCCCCTTGATATGAATTATGCCAACATTATATTCTTGAAGGGCTAGCATCTAATGAAGTAATCTGGAATTGGTTCCCTTAGCTCAGTGTGGCCATAAAGGCATCATCATTTTGTACGGTAAACTTTTTGTTATACAAATAGGATTTAAGCTGCTTAACACCCCTGGACAATTGCATAGCATTCATTCTTAACAGCAGCATAGTTTTGCTCAGTGGATGATATTTTTTGCTTATATATGTAATGGCATGGCTGCCCTGATTTCTAACAGTCTGACCTGAGTTTCACACTCCAAGCTGTGAGCCACTTCAGGTACTATGATACCTAGGCAATGAACAGGGAAATATTTATCTGACCACATGTTTAAAAAAAACCAAAACAGTGTCCTAGGTGCTGCTGCTCAAAAATAAAAACAACTGTAGATTGCAAAGTGCATATTGACTCTTGTGTCTCATTCAACACATTCAACCTTTTAACATTGCATATACCAGATAATGTAAGTTATGAAACTCAGAGTACGGAAAATGGAAGCTATGCCATCTTTTGAAAGAGGCAAAACACCAAGGTCACTTGTGGTTATTAAAATCCACTGGTATCACCCTAATGTCATGATTTATTAACAGAGACCAGGTGGAGTAAATCAAAGGCTACCAATTAGCAGATAACATGCAGAGTTTCAGGAATAATCCACTTGGCTTTCTGGAAGGGTGCGCTTGTCATATTGATGACCCTTATTATGGAAAAAGGTATTTGTTTGATAAGGCCAAATGTAAATATTGGGGCAGAGGAAGGGGAAATTGGAACATTTATGAGATGGGAGAAATCCCACTTCTAAAAATACCCCTCATAGCCAGAATCAAAGTTAATGATAGCTACTTCTCATACCTAGTGCCTTCTGAGAAGAACCCAGCAGGGCTGACCGATCACATGTCAAATTCATGGTCATGGAGACTTGCACACAAATTTTGTTTTTGTTTGTTTGTTTTTTAAAAAGAGTATCTTGGGAATAAATGCAAGAGACGTGTGTACCAATGTTATCCTCTATGCAGGCAAGGTCTTAATAATATTTGGTGATCTGCTCACCCAGATGACTGTTACAAAAGATAGTATATTATGTGTAGAAGTTTCAGGTGTTAGTATTCAAATGTGAAAAATCGAAATAATTAGCCCCTGAAAAAAACTAAGATACCCAATAAACTAAGATACCCAAATATCATAAGAAGTAAAATTCCATGTGGTATGATGCTGAAGTCTCAGCTAGCTGCAAGAATCTCCTCCCTTCTCCTGTAGAACTCACTCGCTGCCTGATCCTATAGAATTTGATGTCTCTCTGTATTGGATGGAAGGACATAAGTACTAGAATCTTGTCTGTAATAGGAAAATTGCCCATTGCTGACAACAAATGACCACAGTTAAGTGCAGCTGAAACAAAGCTGAAACATTCAGAACTATTGCACACAAA